ACTCACTTACACACACACATACATGAATGCATACATTGCATACATACATACATACATACATACATACATACATACATACATACATACATACATACATACATACATACATACATACATACATACATACATACATACATACATACATACATACATACATACATACATACATACATACATACATACATACATACATACATACATACATACATACATACATACATACATACATACATACATACATACATACATACATACATACATACATACATACATACATACATACATACATACATACATACATACATACATACATACATACATACATACATACATACATACATACATACATACATACATACATACATACATACATACATACATACATACATACATACATACATACATACATACATACATACATACATACATACATACATACATACATACATACATACATACATACATACATACATACATACATACATACATACATACATACATACATACATACATACATACATACATACATACATACATACATACATACATACATACATACATACATACATACATACATACATACATACATACATACATACATACATACATACATACATACATACATACATACATACATACATACATACATACATACATACATACATACATACATACATACATACATACATACATACATACATACATACATACATACATACATACATACATACATACATACATACATACATACATACATACATACATACATACATACATACATACATACATACATACATACATACATACATACATACATACATACATACATACATACATACATACATACATACATACATACATACATACATACATACATACATACATACATACATACATACATACATACATACATACATACATACATACATACATACATACATACATACATACATACATACATACATACATACATACATACATACATACATACATACATACATACATACATACATACATACATACATACATACATACATACATACATACATACATACATACATACATACATACATACATACATACATACATACATACATACATACATACAGGCATACATACATACACACATACATACAAACATGCATACACACATACTCACAGGCATACATACACACAAACATACATACATAGATACAAACATGCAGGCATACATACATACATACATTCATACATACATAATACAGGCATACACACATACAAACATACAGTCATAAATACAGTCATGCATGGAGACACACACATGCACACACGGACACTCCCACAGAGACACACACACTCAGACAAAAATACAGACACACACACAGACACTTACATATAAACAAACACAGGGAAACACACAGCACACATATTTACATTCGTGCTCACACACTGACACACACACCACACACACCACACACACATACGCAGACAAACATGCAGACACATACATACAACCACATAGACACACACGCAGTCAAACACACACACACACACACAAATACAGACAAACAGGCAGACAAACCCATACTGACACCCACAGAGACAAACACGCAGAAATGCATACACATGCAAACACATAGAAATACACACGCAGACACATATATTCAGCACGCACAGACATATACTCTGACATGCAGGATAGATAGATAGATAGATAGATAGATAGATAGATAGATAGATAGATAGATAGATAGATAGATAGATAGATAGATAGATAGATAGATAGATAGATAGATAGATAGATAGATAGATAGATAGATAGATAGATAGATAGATAGATAGATAGATAGATAGATAGATAGATAGATAGATAGATAGATAGATAGATAGATAGATAGATAGATAGATAGATAGATAGATAGATAGATAGGTAGGTAGGTAGGTAGGTAGGTAGGTAGGTAGGTAGGTAGGTAGGTAGGTAGGTAGATAGATAGATAGATAGATAGATAGATAGATAGATAGATAGATAGATAGATAGATAGATAGATAGATAGATAGATAGATAGATAGATAGATAGATAGATAACCACTTTTAATCGCCTGATTTAAAAAAAAAATTATGAAAAGGATGATATGTTGCCTACGCCGGTTTGGCCTCACGTTATCAACAAGATGATATACTTTGTTAGGGCTATACTGTTTGTGTGCATTTCATTATTTCTAGCGCAGTATTTTATACAGTAATTACGGCAATTGGTTGACTCAATCATAGCAGCAAAGAAAACAAATGCAACTATAGTTTAACATCCCTATCCAGCAAGACATGGTTATACCCTGTTCATTGATCCTGCTTGTCTTTCAGTGTCTAACAACGGATAACCTTTGGGTGGTTTCATTTCTATGGGGGAGCTGGCTTCTGGATACGTGGCACTTTCAAGTTAGCTGTACAGCACGGTGGTGATACATGAAACTATTACTGCTACCAAGAGAGGTTTCAAGAAACAACAGATCTATTAAAGTGCTGGTACTGCTTTCTGACTAAAAGGGTAGTGGATGCCTTTAGCAAGTTAATGATCATCTAGTACAAGGGTTAGTATCCCGCGCCAGATGGTGTTTCTAAACCATTTTGGTGGCTTTGTTCAGACCGTAATGATCTATTTGCGCCTCCGCACTTTTCACTTGCTCTCAAAGGACCACTACAACATCTAGCGTGTGATTTGTTAAGCAATCACCAAGTGATGCAGAACCAGCCAGTTTGTCTGCCAGTTAGATTCCCAACACACCGACATCACTTGAGACAATATTTAAAGGACGCTAACTAACAGGGGCCTCTAAAGTGTCGCTTGACACTCTGCAAAGAGCATACCTGTCTTCACTTTTGTCAACATGGTCCGCGAATCAGTTATAATTACACGTGTGAACAGCTGGATCTCAAGCTATTAGAACGCTGCAGTGACCGCCTGCACCTCTATTCTCAAACTGGTATTTTGTGCTGAGACTTTGTTGCAGTAAGCGACGTCTATTCGCTTTTGCTATAAACCCCACGCACTTTGTCTGCATTCTAACACCGAGCCATGTGTATAGATAATAACATCACTTGGACAGAAGTTTTCATGAGCTATTTGTTGAACTCCGGATTCTGCAGCCCCAACTGGCCAGTCCCTGCATTCACGGTCGAATGTGAGACCTGATAGCTTTCTCTAAGAAGTATGAGAGTCACACCGTGGAAGAGATTAGAGTCTCATCACCATCGCCAATCAGCAAATCTTCAAGAGAATGCCACGTTCGTCACAGCACGCTTGGAAGTCTTTCTGTCTCTAGTCAATTCTCCAATGTGTGCTTTCTTAACCAATGCATTTTCTGTATCATGTATCCACCTTCGTGGAGGTCTTTCCGGAACGTGTACCCTCTATCACAGCTCTCCCTACCGTACCATGACGTTTAACATGGCTAAAACACTCTTGGTTTGGGGACAGGATCCTGTTTATGAGTCAATTCTTCTTGCTGCTCAGATCACGCGGAATGTCGGTGATTTTTCATTTCCATGGTTCATGGAATTCTACAAATGTTCTTGTTGCCTTTCAGTTCAAAAGCTGGGGGAGGGTGGGAGGGAGAGGGGGTCCCTTAATGATCTAGAAGGAGTTCTTAACACACATCCATCAGTTACCACAGAAACGATTCATGATCTCAGAATGTTTACTTTCACTCTCTTGCAGGTATAGTGTCATAGTTTCTTTGTGCTGTTTAGTCTCTGCATCCTCGGAGTCTCACTGCTTAGTATTTCCGTAGACAGCTGTGAGTGCACTACGGTCAACGTTCGCTGTGGGGGCGGCACAAATTTAAATAAAAATTCAAGTGTTGACGCTGTTTGTTTGTTTGTTTGTTTTAGTATCCAGAAGCCATGAGCTGTTAACCCTTAGGCTCGGTATTATGGATATCGCAACCTTTTGGCCTTGATTCCATTGTAAATACCGTAAATCTGGGAGAAAATTTGGCTTTCCTGCCTACCCCCGGGATTGAATCCGGATCACAAGGAGTTCGTCATCCGGTCTCCGCGCAATCAGGTTTAGCCAACTACGCTAGAGAGCTGGGCAAGTGTTGACGCTGAAAACAGATATTCACATGTAAGTAAGTTTTACGAACGGCGTAGACGGCGAGTCTATCAAAAATTTTCGTCCACTGCATCACTATTCTGATATTATATGAGGTAATAAGCTGATCAGCATCCGTAATTATCCTGGCTTTGTCAGTTCTGCAGCGTTCACTGCCCTCCAGAGCTTGAAGGGCAAACATTGAATCTGTGAAGATGACAATATTTTGGGCCTTTGAAGGGTAAACATCCATTACAGTCTTTATGTGTTATACTGCTATCAGAGGCTGTAAAAATGAATCCACAACTACACAGTCATCTCGACCCTTCCACTTTATCCCTACGAAGTCGGAATGCGTCTACCTGGCAGGCAAGAAACCAACAGTTTGCACACAAATAAGCCAGATCTGTGGAATGCATACGTGAGCCAAAAGTCAAGTCCTGAGAAAAAAAAATTCAGTATAGAAATGGACGAACAACCAGGATTTTCCGATGTAGTTTACAGCCGAAGAAAGCAAACTCAAACAACGTCTCATAATATGTTCCCAAATCATACTGGCACGTGGCAGTATTACTACCACTGTATCAGCAGAACGCGACAGTCAAACAACCAGGGGAAACATGTGGGAAGATCGCACGGTGCACAGGAAAAAATATCCATCGCGAAATAATGGGGACACAGGACGAGAGTCATTTGTCGTTTTGTCAACATCTCATTCTACTGTGTCACAGGAGCCCAAAGCCTTTAGTATTACAACCAACCGGTCGGTGAGAGAAAGGGACTTAAAAACAAAACACACAGGACATAATTTAAATGCGCGACCTGTTTTACATTATTTATATCGTGTTGTCAGAACTAAGCCCTTCTTTTGCGTTTAAATTCGTCGTTTAAAAGCGCTTTTTTGTAAAGCGAGTAAAGTATTTTCTTACGATGAGGAATTGGTTTGCGATTTTAAGGGAATCTCTGCTACTAGAGCTGCTTTTGTTTCTTTGCCACGTTTCAAATTTGGACTGTGAAAAGATTCTGGGGCAGGAAAATGAGGAGTTTGATTTCGATGGATTACCGGGGGCTCAACATGAGTTCAAAGTTCACATCCCAGGATCTACTGAGGATTGCTTCTTTCAGCCAGCTGTCAAAGGAGCCAGGTTCCATGTTAATTTTGAAGTAAGTAACGGTGGAATGAATCTGTTCTTAAGTTCAGCAAAAGATCCTAATGCCGCTTAAGCAGCCATCACAGCGTTATGGCTTGTACGCTGCCCCGGTGTTAGTAACTCATAGGTTCGAATTCTGAGAAGGGGGAAATTGGAGGGGAAGGAGGAGAGGGTGATGTCTGTGCTTAACTTGACCTTTGCTGTTACTTTCTTCTTCTTTTTCTTCAGCATTCCGAGACCTTGAGGTTGATTTCTGCAGATAGCACCCGCCTCTATTCATCCCCCTGGTTGGCCTTCCCTTTCCAGTTGGGGACACCAAGTGTTTGCAGGTCTGTCTGGATATCATCTTTCCGTTTTCTTCTAGGTCTGCCTCGTGGTCTACTACCATTCAGCTCCTTTATGAATACAGCTGTTACCTCTGTGTCGTCAGACATTCTCTCAGTATGCCCCAGTCATGTCAGTCTGTTAGCCCTGTTAGGAAAAGTAGCCAGTATTTGATACTGTGGTATGTCTGGTGAGGTAAAGGTGGCCGTTGTGATTTTGACCACATCACCCGTTGAGTGGTGATTGATTGACATGGGTCTAGCATCAGATGCCCAAAACATCTAAGAATTTAACATCAGAAGAGAGATCAAATCCACTCCCCACCCCTTCTTTTAAATTTTGTTCTAGCTCCGTTATGGGGGAAGGGGTGTTCATATTGTTTCAAGTTTATAATGTTTGTTTGCCATTCACTACATTATTATTATTATTGTATTATTATTATTATTATTATTATTATTATTATTATTATTATTATTATTATTATTATATTGGGCTGATGGCAAGTAAGTATTTAACAAATTTGAGAGAGAGAAAAATATTAATATGTCAGCAATTACATTTAAAACATGAAAAGCATTTGATAAGTATATGCAGTTAATTTTAAAAGTCAGTTTCTATACATGATTACAGAGGGTGGGTGACCCAGCTTCTCCCTCCCCCAACATGGCACCTATAAGAACAACATCCCACATTTCCCCCCTTCAACCCAGACAGTACTTGTGACCTTAACCCGTGTTGTTTTCTCTAGCAAGGAAACAATTTTTTCTACCCAGATGGTACATACGCCAAGCAGTCACCAAAGCCTACTGTTATTCTAAGATAGTACAGATACGGATACGACTGTATAATTTAAGTAGCCTGGCATTACATCTGAAGTCACCTGAAGTCACTGAAAAGGTCTTTAAAATAAGCCTGCTTTAACAATTACAAAAAAGCTTACGCTCATTGGGGGAGAGGAAGGGCGGGGGGGGGGGGATGAATGGGCCCCACTTAAAACAAAATTGCTGTGAGTAAGGCTTCAGTGGACCTGAGCCTCCAGTTTCGTGTGCCTATGATGTCCATACCTTACTTGTGGCATTTTAAAACAGAGTGTGGTATTGGTGACTTGTGGCAAGTGGACCGGAAAGAAGATTATATCACCTTTTATGTCCAAATCAGAAACTTTTAAAACAGCATATTTTCTGTATTATCATCATAACAGCCTGCTGGCTAGAACGTCTTGGGTTCAAATTCGCGCTGAAACCAATTTCAAAATAATTGCTCTAGGCTTCGGGGTCTGTCCAGTCTAAAATGTGACCAGCTTAGCTCCCTTACAAATGTTCAAGGGGCGGGAGGAATAAGGAGCTTAGTCTTGCTTAAGACTTTTCTAAGGGAAGGTCATGGGCTCAAAATGCATGAGCCCCCCCCCCCCCCCCACCCCACCAGCTTCGGCGCCCCTGAAGGGGATCTGCCCCTGACAAGATTGTTTTTCAGGTTACAGTTCCACCTGCAGGCAACTGTGTTCTCATCACTGATCTGCTAGGGCAGAAACAGCTTCAGTTACAATTGTGGAGTTCTCATCACTGATCTGCTAGGGCAGAAACAGCTTTAGTTACAACTGTGGAGTTCTCATCACTGATCTGCTAGGGCAGAAACAGCTTCAGTTACAACTGTGGAGTTCTCATCACTGATCTGCTGTGGCAGAGACAGCTTCAGTTACAACTGTAGAGTTCTCATCACAGATCTGCTGAGGCAGAAACAGCTTCAGTTACAACTGTAGAGTTCTCATCACTGATCTGCTGGGTCAGAAACAGCTTCAGTTACAACTGTAGAGTTCTCATCACTGATCTGCTGGGTCAGAAACAGCTTCAGTTACAACTGTGGAGTTCTCATCACCAATCTGCTGGGTCAGAAACAGCTTTAGTTACAATTGTAGAGTTCTCATCACCAATCTGCTGGGTCAGAAACAGCTTCAGTTACAACTGTGTGAGGGACTTCTTTTTTTTTTTCTCCATATTTTTCTTCCGCTCTTAAAAAGGCAGCTGGCACGTTGTTTTGTGGTTTACAGCTAGGCTACTATATCCGGACCTTTCGGCCTTACAAACAAACTTGATTTCAGCTAAATCCTAATCAGTAACCTTAAACGATATTCGTGCTAGGAGATAGTGGGTCTGTTCTCTCTCTCTCTCTCTCTCTCTCTCTCTCTCTCTCTCTCTCTCTCTCTCTCTCTCTCTCTCTCTCTCTCTTTCCCTCTCTCTCTCTCTCTCTTTCCTTCTCTCTCTCTCTCTCTCTCTCTCTCTCTCTCTCTCTCTCTCTCTCTCTCTCTCTCTCTCTTTAAACCCACAACACGGGGCCCCGGAACCCACACAAAAAGTTCAAATAACAAATGTGTGCTAGTGAAACAGTTATATGAATCCACTAAATCAGACTTATTTTTTTAACTTTAGTTTTTTATTTGTTGAGCAAACATTTTTAATTTATTGTTTGTATTTCCTTGTCTTGGCACAATCAAAACTAATTAAAAATAACTACTTCCTTAGATAGAGCCAGTTAAAATGTCCCTTTTAAATAAAACAAATAACCCAGTCAGTATCGTTACCGTATTCCCAATCGCTAAGCGTATTTTATTTAGTCTTGGGTCGCCAAAATAAAATACAGACTATCTGTCTTTGCTGCATATATTTACTACCATATGTTTAGGGCGATGTAGGAGAGGGAATGATGATGTTGTAGGTAGGTAGTTGTACCCCACCTGGTCATCACACAAACGATAATCACCCCGTGACACAAAGTGCCACCATGTGGATGAGGATCACCCGTGGAGAGGTCCCAGAAACCCCTATGGCCATATCTATGGCTAGGACATATTTATGGCCCAGCAATATTCAGGGCCCCCGGCAGAGGCCAGGGTGGGGCTTCAAATAACAAACAAATTGCACATGGGGACGACTTTTACACTATTAATGTTATGGGATCGCATTGCCAGTTCACTCACTACAAACTGTACAAGTAAGCCATCGACATAATTGTTTTCCCATATCTTAACGATAATCGAACCTGGGTCTTCCGCATTGGGGCCCAGCTAACTAACCACTCGGCCAGTGTTAACGCAATACAGAGCTTTATGAAAGGTAAATTGCATATGGATTAGCAAAACTAATTAAGTAATTGGATTATCTGCTGGGGGATTGATTTTACAACTTTAGCATTGTGTTTGTGACATTGCTTATACCGGTGACAGCTTGCAGTAATATCCCTTACATTTCTCGCATTTCTGAATCAGCGGTCGGGTCAATAATATGACGAAATAACTTCATGTTCAGTTCACTTATTCTGATCATATATATATAGATATATTGTTTCTCTTCTGACTTCGTTCCCAGAGGGCTTTGACAACATCTGACTTGTCACGTACTAATTTACCACTTAGTGTTGCAGATCCAGCCAATTTGTCTGCCTGTTCATTCCCTACCACGCCGGCGTAGAAAAGACCCAAAGTATGCTCACTACCCGTGACCCTCCCAGTGAAGCTTGCCACTCTGCTTGAAGTATCCCTGTGTTTACTTTTCTCAGCATGTTTTCAGGAGTCTGTTACAACTATGGCATGTGTATGCATCTTGTTCTCTAGCCACCAGAAAGCTGCAGTGACTGCCTCCACCTCCATTCTCAGGCTAGATGTTGTATTATCATATGCTAGGCTGTCCTGCACCAAAGATTTTCCATTAGTTTCGCTACGAAGCCCCGGGCACTTATATAGGTGTTCTTCCCCGTGTGGGTTTTAAGGTCTCAGTGTGGGGGAAACATTGCCTGCCAAAAAGCATGTCGTAAGAGTCGACTAGTTATGCGCTTTCTTTGAAGTCAGAGTTCATCTAAGAGACAAGGAATCAACGGTCTGCATGCAAATGAATCAGACCTGTAAAACAGATGTGCACACAACACATTTGTGTGTGTGTGTGATATGCTGATGAGGGCTTTCGAACCACAACCTTCTTTCTGTCATTAATGACTGTGGTTATGTGAAGCTGGCTAATTCTACTTCTCGCTTGCATTATCATTGATTTTACAATGCGGATTTGGTTGTTGTGTTGTTTTAGGAAGGAGGATCAAGGTGTGGGTTCGTTTTAGCTTCTCTCCGCTCGGCCCTGTAAATTTTTAAGAGGGATAATAGCTTCCCCTCCCCCCTTTCCCTTCAGAGCTTTCATTTCTTTTAATTTTGGTTGGGGGTGGGGGCGTGGGGGAGAGGGGGGGGGGGTCGGCCTCATGGTGACTAAGTTTTCTGTTTTAAGTGTGTGTGTGTGTTTGTGTGTGTGTGTGTGTGTGTGTGTGTGTGTGTAATTTCAAATATATTATTATTATTATTCCATTCAGTATATTGTTATAATCATCGTTTACTAAGATTATCGTTAAGAACGCAAACAATTCTCAGGTTCGTTCCTTGGATGACGTAGTCAGCATCACGTCGGCCGCGTTTACTTCCAATCACTTAATCGACAATTTTCTCAATACATAGTTGTCAGAGATTCAGATGGCTAAGAGACACTTGGACGATGGGGGATAGTAGAGTCCCAAGAACATCCTCAATGTTGAATTCCAGATGGGCAGATCGTAGATACCCCGTTCAACCTACAAGAAAGTTATAGACAAAATAAAGACAGATAGATGGATGGATGAGTGGGTGGATGGAGAGAGAGAGAGAGAGAGAGAGAGAGA